TTGTTTGATTCATCGTGGTGTTAATCGTTTTTTGTTTCTTGTTATTATCTTATTGATATCTGTTTGAATCTATCGATCTTAGAGAACTTTATTCTCATCAGTATATATGTAAATTAAATTATATATAGTTAATTAAAGCATATTTGTAGTTTGGGGTTCATATTTAGTTGTGTTGTGTTGTATAATATTTACTGTTGTATTGAAAAGGATATATCGGATTAATTGATGGATATTTTAATGTGTAGGTTTACAATTATTTAATGCCTATTTTGGCTGGGCAGTTCCAGATGATGGGGAGAACACGGGTGTTGTTGATAGTGCCAAAGAGTTGTTGCGGGCTGTTGATGTTGTTCATATACTTACAACGAATAACATCACATTCCAATGTGAAGACCCATATCATTATGTTAAAGGTGCATTTGCAATAGGCCATGAGGAGGATAAGGATCAACAAAGATATTGCATGGTTTGTCGTTGGTATGTGGAGTATGGTAGGTTTTGTATATTTCTTAAAAATATAAATGGTTGATAATAGATTGGACATTGAATATTAGTGTTCATATTGTATTGTATATGAAGTTGTATACTACTATAATTTTATTTTGGTTTTATGTTTACATCATTCCGTTAAAATGGCATTTTAGTAATGTTTGCTTGCTATGTTGTTTGAGTGTGATGAAGTATACGTAAAACCCATGTTATTTTTGTGATGAAGTACAGTTAATGGAATTAAAAATAAGTTTGTAATGAATTCGTTATTAAGGAAAATAATCTACATAGATTATATACTTTAACATGCCCGGTTTTAAGGGTGTGCAAGAGGTGCAACCGCACATGCCCCAGAAAAAATAGGGCCTGAGTTCTAATAAAATTATATGGTTAATTAGTCATTATATACTATGTTTTTCAAGAAATTATACACAACTTGATTAGCACAACTGGCTTAACCGCGCCCTTTTCTAGCATAAGCTTAAGTTCGAGTCCGCTTGCCAGTAATATCTACTTTTATAATTCATTTTTACATATTTAGCCATTAGTTTATGCCACATATGACCAATTCAAAAACATTTCATTCAAACCATATCTTACAAATTCCATTGATCATAATAATAATTCAACCATAGAATAAGAAAATTAATTAAGCATACAAAATCCCAACAAATGCCGTCACAAATTAGCTACACGTTTTGTTCCATAAAAAAACAAGCAAATGAAATCATATTCCATAGCAGAATTCCCTAGCAAAATACCTACAAATGATACTTACATAGAAAATCAACTATGAAGTTGGTTTCCGTCACAAACTCCGTTGCATACTAACCGCGATAATTAATTCCATAGCAGCAGTACAACGGAAAGTGATTTCGTAACAAATGTCGTTGGAAAATTGCTACGAATTTTTGTTCCATAGAACTATCGGTAGCATAATACCAACAGATATGGAGTCGGTAGCATTTACCCTAGCAAGTCCCATTCTCACTACCAGAAATAAAATCCATAGACAATGTGGTAGCAACATTGCTATGGAACGACATTCCATAGCACGATCCATTGCAGATTAACAACGAAAATACGTTCCATAGCGACCTTCCCTAGCAAAATCGCGTTTTTCTTGTAGTGTTTATAGTTGTGGATTTCAATGTTTCATGTACTTCAAATGACCGGAGGAAGGCTTGATCGTACACATCATCCTATTGTTTTTTATATGATTTTGAGAGATGTTTTTATCCTCTAATTTGTTATGATATTTTTGGGAAAACAATGGTTGATTGTTACATGGTTTTTATGAAAATGACATTGAAAATCAAAGAAATTTCACTATGGTTTTTGGGATGTTACAAAATTAAAAAAAATTAGTATTATACATTAAAAATAAATTAATAATACAACAAAATAACTTTTATTATATAAAGAAAATAATAAATTAAAAGTGATAATCCAATAAAAAATAATTAATCCAAAATAAAGAGGAATTAAAAAAATTAACTAAAAAAATTAATAATCTAATAATGTAATATTTATTAGGATATAAATATTATATATTAAAAATAATATTTATGAATATATAATAATCCAATTAAAAAGAATTACTCCAATAAAAAATTTAACTAAAAGAATATAATAATCAAACAAAATAATATTTATTAATATGTAAATATTATATATTAGACATAATAGTTATTAATATATAAAAATCCGATAACATAAAAAATTTTAAAAATTAATTAAAATATATTAATAAAATAATAAAATGTGGGATATCTCCAGAAAAATCTCAATATTTTAAATGTATAGACGTATTGTTTTACGTATTTATATGTATTTTTTAAGTATTTTATATATCTTTTGTGTGTTTTTATGTGTTTTTATGTAATATGTATTTATATGTATTTTTGCGTATTTATGTATACTTTTTTAGTTTTCTTATATAGTTGTTTATGTATTTTTATGTATATTAAATGTTTAATTGTATTATTTTTACGTGTTTAAAAAAATACATAAATACGTAATACATAAAAAATATGTAAAATACTTAAATATATATATATAAATACGTAAAAAACACGGTTATATATTTAAAATACATAAACATCTATATAAAAAGCTTAAAAAAAATACATAAATATGTAAAAATATATAAAAATACATAATACTTAAAAAAAAATAACACATAAAAATACATAAAAAATATGTAAAATGGTGAAAAATACATATAAATAAGTAAAAAATATATGTTTATACATTTAAAATACATAAATATATACATATAAAAACATAAAAATTACAAAAATACGTAAAAATAGATATAGATATGTAAAAAATATGTTTATACATTACATAAAAATTTTGACGAAATCTGCAAAAAAGTCTCATTATTTTCGAAAAATTAACAATTTGGTCAAATGACCTGCTGAACAGGTCAAAAAGGGCTAAAGTGAATAAATTAGCCAGTTTCTTGGGCTTTTCTATTCAAAATGTGAAAAAGTCATGACTTTTTTATTCAAAAAATAAAATTTAGGACTTTATTAAAAATTTGCCCAAAATATTGGGACTTTTCTGGAGATATCTTATAAAATAATATTTATTAGTATATAAATATTATATATTTTAAATAGTATTTATTAATATATAATAATTTAATAAAATTAAAAAGAATATATGCATAAATGGTCTCTGAGGGTAAAAATTGTTATTTAAAAAAAGTTAACAGTTAAACTGTTAAAGTTGACAGATGAGGGACCAAAACTACAACAAAACTTGTTGAAAATTACTAAATTTGCAAATTTTCAAAAGTTTAGACTTTAAACACATAAAATGAAAAAACCACATAGACTAATTTTGCATTTTTGTCTTACATTTTTTTTTTGTGCAAAAAGCTTTTATTATTATTATTATTATTATTATTATTATATATTAAAGATATAAAAAGTTTTAACAGTAAAGTGGCACATTTTTTGTCAATTTTGGTCCTCCAATTTACAACATTGACCCTTCATCTTTATGCTTTTGTTCACAAACAACCCTTTCACTTTGGTTTGAATTTTTCATAACTCTCGCCTTTTATTACATATTATTAGTATTTAGTCTTTTGGCAGAAATGGTCTCTCATCATTATTATTAATATTGTTAGACAAAATTACACGATTGGTCCCTATGGTTACCAGATTTAACATTCTCTTTTTGGTTTTAAATTAATGTTTTATTTATTAGAAAATACCCACCCAATACCATAAACCCACCCACCATCTGCCATCACCACCACCACCACCATCGCCAAAATTACATAAATGGTCCATATGGTTTACCCATGGTGACAAATTCAGTCCCTACTACCTGAAAAGACCAAATTACCCTCACATTAACGGACAAAAAGCAACCAACATGCTACTTTACTTTACAAAGCAATACCTTCCGACCTCGGCAACGCCGGGGAATCTTTTCTAGTTATTATTATTATTATTTGTCAAACATAATCTAACTTGAGGGGAGCTAAGAGCGTTAGAGTGAGTAAACAATCATAGATGACTACATTTTATAGATTTTTTAGAACGACGAAAGATTTATAAAAAACGATCGCAAAAGCTAGCAAGAAGCTAGCAAAACACAAAGTTACAGATTACGTGTTTTGAAAGGGGAAATACTCCAATCCATTCAATCGATGTTATACATTTTGCATTTATGTTTAACCCAAAAGAATAAGCAAACTTTAATGTGATCCACCAATTTTTTCTAGTTAAGTTCCTCCTTTCTGAAGATAACCTCGTTTTTAGATTTCCAAATGACTAAAATCGTCGTTCCAAAAAAATGTACCAACGAGTTTTAAAGCCTTTGAATTTTGCGAGTAGCTCGAATTAAAAAAGCCAACAAGTCCACCAAGGAGCCACTTCCACACCCATGTTAGCGACAAAACAATTCGGATTAAAATGATCAACAACTTCTTCATTCTTGTATCAGAAGGGACATAAGGTAGATGTCACTGATACACCTCTTCGAGCTAGCAGGGCGGCTCAACCAATTTGGAGACTCTAAGCAAACAAAAAAATTTAGGTCCTTCAGTTTTATAACTTAAACTAAATCCCAAACTATTTCTTAATGCATCTCAGCTAATCACTTATATAAAAATGAAGTTTGCTGAAGTTTTGATCTCCCAACCGATATTGGACTCAAAGGGTAGAGTTAATATGAAGCAAGAGGATGGTAGAGCTTATATAAGAGAGGAAAGTTGTTGAGTTTCATCCATGAGTGATGTGAGATATGTTAGTTTCCAAAATAAAATGAATGAAATGTAAGCAAAAAGATTCAAACATGAGACCCGTCAATCATGGGACTACCAAAATTACAAACATGTTATCATTTAATTGGGTAGAGGATTTGTAGGAACAAAAGTAAAAAGATATTTAATTTCTCACTAATTAAACCAAACTAGCACAACAATCATTTAGCTATGATCGGTGATTCCGTCCATCATGGGACTACCAAAATTACAAACACAATAATAGCCGTACATACCACAAAAGTTTCCTTGTCTAAGCTATTCTATTCCTACATATTGTACTTTATTCCTCGCATGATATATATATACAGAAAAAAATGTGAACACATTAACTAAAAAAATTTACCAAATATTTGCAACCTTGGTCCCCTTCTCCATTACATCTAGTTGGTCATCTGCTTTATTAATGCGTACATGTTCATTCGTCTCTGTTCCCTTTTGCTTTTGGAAAAGATCACCAGTGGCGATGGAATTCTTTATAGAGCCTATATGGATCCTCCGATTGTGATCAATGTAGGTAGGTCTGGTTAGTTGTCTCTCCCCCAATGATTGGCCATCTTGAAGCATCAAAAGCACTTCAGACATGGTTGGTCTATTAATAGCCGGTGACTGAGTGCACAACAAAGCAATCTCAATGATTTTCATCAAATGTTCTTCTTCATATTTTCTCGCGTCCATTGTCTCATCAACTAACTTCATATGTTCCTTATTCTCATACAACTTCCATGCCTGCCACCAATTGCAACCAATGAATTTTTGTCATGAAAATAATTCATGAGAATATCAGAGCAACAGAGAAAATATATATGTATGTTGGTGTGGAAAGAATTATCAATTACAAAACCATCTTGAGGTACCATGTGAAAACTAAAATGGCAACTCTTTGGTACTATTTTATGTTAAGGAAATATAAAAAGGAAAAAGTATTAATTTTATATCTCACATGTTCGATGAGGTACTCGGTTATAGGTCCATCAATGTTCACGTCATTACACCTTTGGCCACTAATGATTTCAAGAATCACTATACCAAGGCTGAAAGTGTCAACTTTATCTGATAAAAGACCATGACGTGCATATTCTGGTGCTGTATAGCCCCTGTTATTGTTATACATAGTAAAAATTAAAAAAGTCAGATTAGATGCATAATATGGAATGTAGAACAAATGTATTGTAAATCATACTTACAATGTCCCCGCAAACTTTGTGACAACATGACTTTGATCATCGGGTTGAAACTTTGCCAAACCAAAATCTGCTATTTTAGCTTGAAAATGGTCATCAAGGAGAATGTTGCTTGATTTTATATCTCTATGAATGATTTTTACATGGCATTCATTGTGTAGATGAGCGAGACCCCTGACTATCCCTACTATAATGTCATATCGTTGTTTCCAGTTCAAAGTCCCCCTTTTCGGACCTATGTGCAATGGCAATATATTTAAGTTTAGCAAATGTTTTGCGTATTTATATTTTCATGTGAATCCTCATATTTAAAGATAGCTTAATTACCCCATAGGAAGCTGTCAAGACTACCATTCGACATGTATTCCAGGACAAGTAGTAGATTGGATCCTTCACTTGACCATCCTAGAAGACGTAGAAGATTTCGATGATGAATTTGACTTATAAGAAAGATTTCATTTTCAAATTCTAGTTTTGCTCTTGCATCACGAACTTCTAGTTTCTTCACTGCTAGAACTTGATTATCCTCATGAATTGCCTATTAACCCATACAATAGACTATTATCCATAGTAATAATTAAGTATCTGTGCAGTTAATTACCTGAAGTACAGAATAATGCAGAAAGTATAGTCCCCTTTCTTTGTATATTATCTTATATATTTTGCTATTCTTGTTAATTATATTTTGCAATACATGATATAATTGGCTCTAATTCATTACCTTGAATACTTCACCAAATCCACCTCTCCCTATACTATTCTCTTCACTGAAATTATTGGTTGCCAGCTGCAAATGTTTATAATTGTAGTTGACTGCCCCCTTGAACACTGGTGCATCTAAAATATCACATGGTTCACGTAAAAACATAAGAAACTCAACATAATATTTCATATAAAAAGTATATTTCAGGAAGTAGTATGTGACACAAGTGTTGTCAGCTACATTTATTTAAAATTCTTTAATTTCCATGGGATTGGTCAAATGCTAATACGTCAGATACGTACATATATACATGAATTACCTTCTTCAGTCCTCTTAGACTTCTTCCACATAAGATAATATAATCCCAAAGCAATAACAAGAAAGAAGAGGCCTACACCCCCAACTGCTCCAGCAATTACGGGTACCTTATTTGACTTTTTTTCTGTAATATAGAATAATACAATCGTTACAAACTAACCAATTATGAAACTATTTCAATTTAAAATTTCAGGTAATTATGATGCATGGCAATAACAAAATGAAAGGAATAAAAAGAAATACCTCACCTTTTAGTAGATTTGTGATATCAATTGTCTGATTATCACTGAAAAATGGAGTGATTGAATATCTTGCGAAACACCCCTGATCAATAAACCTTCCTTCTGTATTAGGAAGACAGTTATATAGATTACTATGTGCTCTATTCAAGCAGTCTTGGCAAATAGTCCGGCTTGTATTTTCAACACACTGTGCAATGGCGTACACTGTTGCATTTTCATTTGAGACTTGTCTGGTGGATGCTACATACCAGTTAGGGGCTCTCGGAGTAGCAACTCTAATATCTGATAACAACTCATCAACAGCTTCACTAAAACTTGACGTCTGAGATGCCGACTGATTCCCACATATGTCAAGTGGAAGGAAGGTGATCTGCTCCACCGCAGATGGGTCATTGTAGTAATTGGGATAGTTCTCATACCTTAATAACAAATATATATAATAATTTTTAGAATCTCATTTGTGAACTTAATTAGTAGTAACATTTATATAATAAATGATTATTCAGTAACATGGAAAAACTAATAAAGTATATTACCGTTTACAAACGTAAAGAAATTATTATTTAAGATAATGACATTAAGTATGGTATTTCAAGATATGAAAATTACCAAAAGAAAAAATTCATCCTAGCTTGAGGCAATGGGCTACAATGTTTTTCAGAATAGATATTAAAATAAGATATAAATTAAATATGCACGGGATTAATTATATATATATATATATTAAATCCAAAGGAGCTTAGGAATAGTACATTTTTAGGCTTTAGCTTTTTGCCACAAAAGTTTACTGAATTTGACACTTTTAGTCCCTAAAGTCAAAATTTTTACATTTTTGCCTTTTAATTAAGTTTTTGTGCCTTAAGGTTTTTGCCACAATCTTTAATGACTTTGACACTTTTAGTCCTTGCAGTCAAAGGTTTTACATTTTGGTGTTTTTGCCACAAATCTTTAATGAACTTGACACTTTTCATCATTGTAGTCAAAACTTTTACATTTTGACATAAAAAACACAGAAAACTTCCTTTAAAATTTTGCCACCATATTTTCCCAACTTTGACAACTTGAACATTATTGCCACAACATTTTTGGATTTTCTCCACCAATGTCCCTTCTTTTCGTTGTACACTTTTGACATCTAATTTTAGGGGTTGTCGACTTTCTCCCCTATTTATGGTGATTTACAATTTCAGCACATATTTTTTAAAGTTTGCCGATTTTTTTCCATATTACCCCAAAAGCAGCGTAGCCGCGGGTTCTTTACTAGTTAGTATTATAAACAAATAACAACTTGCTATACCCATCACGTGCTCATCATTAATTCATTATTATTTTAGAGCAAAGTATTGAACTATTACTTTCGCAGCCACACAAACGAGACCAATGAGGAAACCGTCGGTGGACCTAGTATAGAGCCCTCAAATTTTCATAAATGTTTTTTCACCCTACCATTATGGGACAAAAGGAAAATAGCTCACTTGCTATTCGGTTCAAAATTTCCATTAGATTTTATCCAAATGATGTTTTTGTTTAGTTTAATGCATGGTATTTCAGATATGAAAACGAGAAGAAAAACTTATTCCAACTTGAGGTCCATGCATGGGCTACTTTGTTTTTTCAGCTTAGACATTAAAATAAGATATAAATTAGATGTAAACTGGACTTCATTATAAACAATCAACTATCGGGAAAAACAAAAAAGACCAGAGATGAAATGAGTGATGATACCAGGTTTTGGCGATATTATACAAAAAGCTAAAACGTGCAGTGTTTGTTATTCTGAAGCTTCATAACGAACAAATAATTAATTACGAGTATACAGTATAATTCTTTTTCATGACATGGATGATGTGAATCATGTTGCAGCACACATAATTAGCTTACCTTCGTTTACTTAATCATTCAATTGTAATAAGATAAAAGTTTACCTGACAAAGCAGTTATCAGAGAAAGCATAAGCACCATTGCCAGTTATGCAAGGCACGAGTTGAGATACACAAGAATTAAAACAGGCAACGCACTGAGCTTCGGAGAGGTACTGCCTGCACTGGGCGTCGCCAAAAACGGAGTCCCCGTCACTTAAACTCTGTGCCCTTGAATAAAATACGCCAGTGCTAGATAATTGACTTCTGAGTTGAGTAAGGGTTGAGTTCCGATTGTTGATAAAACTTGAGAGAATAATTGGAGGATTAGGACCACAGAATGATCTTACGGGTGCGTTGCCATTAATGTTTTCATCGCCATTCAACTGTGAAATTCCGGGCTCGATTAACAAGAATACAACCAAGACAACAATGATAGCCATCAGGCACCTTGATAAAAGAAAAAGAAAGATTAATATGGAAGAAGAGATAGAGGGTGGCGCATATATAACTTTTGCGCATTAAATTAGCATTGTATGCGTCCAACTTTATGTTCAATTGGTTAATATTAAAGTCAACTTGTTTAAACAAACAAAGCATCCCGTATACTGTGATTGAAAAAGGTCAGAAGGATAACGTGTTTTGATCATATTCCTTCCGGATAGTGACTGATCTGATGTGCTGATTAAAGTTGGAGTTGCGGTTGTTCAAAATAAACAATTATGAATTATCCACTAACTGTTTTAAAGAAGTGAAAATAATAAAAATTCGTCAAAAATAGTTTATAGATTTTCAATAAAGTAACCGTAAAATTTATTTTTACAAAATTAATTACGAATTTCGTTGGAAATCCAATGCGAAATTCAAATATTCCGAGAAACATCCTCCTAGTGGCTATTAAGCAACAAATTTCCAAATTTCTAAATATAAATACATTTCAAAGAAAACAAAATTAATTTTAATAAACACATCACTTTCACCGCAAGAAATCAAGGCAATAGCTAATACTTGGCGTCGTCGGTAAGTCCGGTCGGAGTGGCATAAACCGCAAACCACGGTGGGTGATGTGTCACCGCAGTAGTACGTTTAACACGAGTACACGGCACCGTCCAGTAGTGCTATAGTGCGGTAAAGCCACCGCGCAATAGTATCTCACCGCACCTCTTTTGTGACCGTTTTTAAACGGATAGTTTTCATAATATTTTTTTATTTTTTTTCTATTATAAATACACATTTTTACTTCACATTTCAAAGCACAAGACATGTCTTCAATGCTCAAGTAAATTTCGTTATCAATGATTTTTATGAGAATTTCTTCGACGATACAAATGACGAATCGGAGATGTTTGTAGATGATTTTAGCGAGAAATATAATAACGTTATGAACGACTATGATTAGGTGTGATGTACTATTCTACAATGTTTCAAATATGTTTGTTTAGTTATGTCTTTTTTTAGTATGTTTTTTTTAATTAATGAAATGGTTTCGTTTCAAATTACATTTTTTTATATTAATTTTATATAATTAAATTTCATTTAATTAAAAAGAAAAGGAAAAAAATATGATGAGGTGTGATACTATTTCCTATCAATTTTGTGGGATGAGGGAGGGAGAGAAAAATAACGTGGCGCTGATTTGGCACGCCAAATGTATGGTAAAAGGAGGTACCATACCCCACCGATCTAAAGGTGTCGTTGTTATTGCCTTGATCCATGATCCTTGTGCTCATAACCATAATCATTGATTAGCTTGGTAGATCGAACGACCGTCCCTCCCAATGCATTATTGTCGATAGCAATAGCAGCGACAATGTCGCCGCTAATAACCCCCAAAATGCCTATTTTTCTTTCCAGTTTTCTGGTATGTCGCCGCTAATACGATTTAAATTTTGCCACTAAGGCTTTTCGTTGCCATTAACGGTCGTGTCATTGCTAAAGCCTAGCACAATTAGAGGCGTTTTTGCCCATCTTTCCTCTTTGCATTTTTTTCTACCTTTCTCTCCTTCGGCTATAGCGATGACACCATGCCTGTCACACCCCGACCTATCGACGGAAACGTCGGGCGGTGCGATGTTAGGATGTTGGATCACAGATAAGGATTTCACCTGCCATTCACACTACAAGAGAAATTACTTACAGTCACACCAAAAAAAGTGTGACCATATGCATATAGTGACATTTTATTTTTTCACTGAAAGTGTGACGGAAGGTGACACCATCGTATGGGTCTTATGGTCACTTTAAAATGTAGTGTCCGTATGAGATGAAAACATGTGGTCGTATTATAAAAGTGTGGCAAATTTGTACGGAAATGTTTTCCATAAATATCCAATATTGTAGCGTTAAACCGTCAATAGACACATTTATTTAGTAACTGTGGTGACTGTATATCACTAACTTGCGACATTCATGATGTTTTAGTGTAGTTGTTTTCTTTTATATTATCACACAGTTTAATTTTTTGTTAAAACTATTGTGTATCTTTTGTAAACATGTAATTACGCTGAGCATGACCATGTTTGGTAAATGGACACATATAATTAATTCCATAAGTGACGAATTGCTAATAATTAGTCACAAAAAACAATCAATTTTTGTGACTATAGCTTATCGTACAGAGACACATAATTAAGTGAAATACAATCATAACTATTATAAAGACACACATTTTGTTAAAATTAAGGACTATTCGGTATCGTAATAAGACTATTGGGTATATTTTAGATACATATAATTACGGTGAACATGACCATGTTAGGTAAATGGACACATATAATTAAATTTATAAGTGACGATTTGCTAGTATTTCGTCACAACAACAATCAATTATGGTATCTATTGTTAACCATTTAGCCACACGTTAAAATATGATGTAAAGTAACCATTGTATAATTATAGAGACATTGAAAACCAATAAAACATGGCCAAATTTATATTAAAGCCTCTTTAATTTAATATTTATTGTTACTTTTTATACAATTTTAGACACATCAAAATAATTTAAATTAAAGTAACCAAACCCAACAATATGAAACAAAAGTAAAATTCATAATTTGATATTACTAATAATTAAAATCCAAATCCATACATTAAATTCCTAATTAAAATACCAAAAAAAAAAAGAAAATTGTTCTAATTTCAATAATTTAAATAATGGTAAAAAAATCAAACACATCATAAACCAAAACCTAAACATAACTAGACATTCTTCTTATTTGTATTGCTCCTTGTCTTCTTGAGAAGGGCATCCGATGAGATGTAAGTTGGTTTCCTTTTCTTTGAGTTTTGATGTTGATGTTCTTGATGTGATATAATTTCTGGTACCTATAACAACAACATTGAAACAAAAAAAATTGAGTACATCAAAACCTTAGTATACTACTTAATGAAGAAAATAAAGTGTAATGCAGAAAGTAGTGAACATAATTAAACAAACCTTTGACTCGGGTTGCACAAGGTATTTTGGCCATGGAACAAAACTTTTATATGCATCCTCAACTAATGTGAATTCTCCAGTTTTATGGGGTAGAAATGCTTGTTTTATTACCACTTCATCAATGGAAACTTTATAGCAATCATCTTGTAGAGGAACTCCATGAATGAATTGTCTTTCTGATGATAAGTGAATTGTACCACGAGCAACGATGTTCCTTTTATACGGATGTGATAGAGTACACTTGATTGGCTACAATGATAAGTAATATTAGAATCAGAAAAAAAGACAGAAATGTATATTCAACATGTAAAAAACACTTACCTGGTGAAGGGGTTTATTTGGTGAAACTGTTGGTATGTCAGGATTGATAGTGACAGTCTTAGAGTCAACATCTTTTCTGGTGGGTTTTGTATTTGCCTAATATAAAGGTTTAAGACATATATGTAAAATTATATTTTAATATAAAAGATAAATTAAAAGTGTTGAAAACTGTAAAGTAAGTATAAACTACTGTTGCAGATTTCATGGAAATCAATTGTGTATCGGGAGTTGCAGTTGTAGAGTTGGTTTGAACTTGTTTCTTGGTGGGTTTTGCAATAACCTAAATAAATTAAAGTCCCAAGTGAAAAAACAGAAATTAGTATCAAAAAAAGTATATCAATGATTATCTTATAAAATGATAACATACTGGTGTTACAGGTTCTGATGGTTGCTTGGTTTTGAGACTAACAGGAGTTGTTTCACTACTTTCAACAATCTTGTCACTTGAAATACCCTAGCAAATATAAAGAAACATGGAAAATGTCTAAAAAAAATGCAATTTACAAGTAACATTGAAAATACATGTTGTTAATAAGATTACTTACAACAGTATGAGACAGATTTTGAAAGTTAGCTCCTTTTGCATTAAGATGAGCCAAAACTAGCTTTAGTGTTTGATCTTGTTCATTAACCTTTGTAGACAAAGCCTTGAGTTCAACATCTTTTTTCTCAAGCTCAAGTTTTCCATTATGCAGTGCAACTTTAAGATCTTTAATTTCTTCCTTAGATGATCCTTTGCTGCGAGGAACATTGAAATATATGTTGTAAGTGACTCCTGTGCCAACACCCTTTAAAAATCCTCCATTTTCCTTGCCAAAAACTAAGGTCATGGCATCCGTGCCTGGTTCAACATTAACTTGTCCTTCTTTTATCTGCTTTTCTTGTTCCATCTAGCACACAAAATATTAATAATTATTGTCCTAATAAAACTGATTAAAATCTTTATAGTAATAGTAATAAAAAAGTTTATTGAAGTTACTAGTTTATCCGCCATGAGTTTAACATCTTCATCCTTAAATACTCCTTTACTTTCACGTCCTTTACACCACATAATTGACCTTGGGGGCATTTCTTCCTTTGAAATCACTTTCTCTTCAATCTTGATAAAAAAATTAAATTGTAAACAATATAAAATAAAATTCTGTTAAGTAGCATACTATGAAGGTAATATAATGGATCATATAGCTAAAAACAAAGCTTACCAACTTCCGCCTAAGAGTAGTATACCCCCTCGTCCCATCCGATGAGCGTACTTTGACATCTTGCGCGCTTTGACTGTCTTTTGTGACACAACTTGTCTAAAAAAAAAGATTTGTCAAGCACTTTTTGGTAATTTTATGATAAATAAATGAAGAAGTTTTGGGAAAAAGTTGTAACATTAAACTCCTCAGATTGCGTATATGTCACAAATTTGTTCCAATCATCTTTTTCAGTAATTATTGCCCGATATCGAACAGGGATTTCTCCAAGCTTTTTGGAATTCCCTAGATGTGGCTTGATGTAAGCTGCATACAATTTCCTTCTGAAGTTTCGTAGAAGGATACCAAGCCTATTCATCACAAATCTTTTTCCAGTTTCATCAACTTTAAAATAGCGCTAAAATGAAACAATAATGAATTTGTTAGTATTTAATACATGATTTGTAAATAAAATATGAGATGCAGTTAAAAAAAGTGAAAAAAATATTTACTGTAATCTCTTCCCAAA